TCATGAGAGACTCTCATATAGCAGCGCAAGCGCGGGTAGGGACGTTAATAACGCCTCTCGGGGTTTAAGACATCGGCACGATTGATCTGCTTGGTATCTCGCCTTCGGGGGACAAATGTTAGACTCCTCGGCACGGCGTCTGACTGTGCGCAGGGCTTTGGGGTTCCCAGGCTTCTCTCGTTTCTGGCGTTCTGGGGGCCCTTATAGGGCCACCCTAACGGGCTCTGTCCGGGGCACGTGCGTGGTTGAGTTCAACGGGAACCACCCTGACGGGACGGCGGAGTGAGGAGTGATTCCAGGGTCTCGAGTCATCCCGACGGGAGGCAGAGCTCCTGGAATGACCCCTCCGTTCCCGGGTACGGGACATCATTCCTATTTTTTGAGGGGTTCTTTTCTCAGTTAATAATATTCTTGCTAAACTGGGTCACTCGTTCCTCTTACCTCGTACCAGCATATGCAGAAAACACCGCTCGTTCGAGAAACAAATTTTAATTTGATTAACATCAAATTCATCTTGCGAAGACGTATCTATTAACCGTTGCTATTTCAGTACAAATCTAGAAAAACACTGACGATTGGGCAGGTCCGAAGCAGTTTAGTGAGAAAAAAAATGATGACGATCGTTTTGCACCAACCTTAACCAGTGCATTTGTCACGGGGATTGTCTTCGACGAGCAGCTTCAATACAGTACACTGGTATTAGCTGCCTGGCACATTAGACTCCCTTCCCTTCCTTTTCCCATTTCTCAATTTTCCAAACAAGACTCGAAGTTTCAGAACTGACGATGCTGCTCTACGCACTACAGCTATTTGTCATTGTCGTGGTTGCAGCGCAAGATGCTGCGTCAATGACAACAGACGGCAAGATGACAAGCCAACCCGCAGTCCCATCATCGGCTCGTTAGGGTCAGAATGGCATCTTTGGTCGTAAACTCTTGAGAACCGATGGCCAAGACGACGACGAGAGAGGGTTTAATTTTAATATCCCTGGCCTCGACACGATTGCGGCTTGGGCCCCCACGGCCACAAACAATAAGATCCGGAGCTGGCTAAAAACTGGTGTCACCACGGACGATGCTTTCAGGAAATTGAAACTTAATCAGGTGAAGGATGAGGCGGGTTTTTAATCTTCCCCACAATTCAAGGAGTGGGCGACGTTCTCTATTCGAATGTCAAAAAAAGGATCAGCGGCAAATATGTTCGCGACTCTTTCGCTCAACTACAAGGATGATACCCTTGCGACAATGATACACGAGGCAACAAAATCGAAGAGCACGAAAACAATCGCCAAGAAGCTGCAGCTTGTTCAGTTTGGGAAGTGGAAAAACGAGGGTCTCTGGCCTGGTCAAGTTGTTGGAAAGGTTTTCTATAATGACCACCGATGGGGGCTTGGTGCTCCTCCTTATGAGATCTACAAATCGTACTTAACCTATTGGAGCAAGCGCGCCACCCCGGATGAGGTCAACAAGATTCCGTGATGAATTATTCTCGACCCTTAGGTTCTAAGAGCTTCTGACGGTTATGCTGGGATACTAAAAAAGGCTGACGTTTCACAACATTACAGAAGTCAGAGCTTCGATTGAATTGATACTTTCTGTAAGATGTGCGGCAAGTCTACAGTCTACTGTAGATTGTAATACAATTTGTAGGCTACGTATGTTGCCGACTTGTCAGGTATTATTGGATCTACAAACTTATCTTTACTTCAACCACAGTGCTTTGTAGATCAGTGCCAGTCGCTTGGAGGCGGTAGCTCCTCCTCCATTTCCATCGAGTCGTCGCCAGACTCGACGTCTCGGGCGAACGAATCGTCGTCTCTCTGCTGTCCTTCACCCCGAACGATGGTCGCTCTACCTGTCGTCTCCTCTTCGGAGTCCTCGTCCATCATTTCGTCTTCATCCATATCTTCTTCTAGATCTTCTTCAGACGAGCTCGACCGTGCAAACTGAGTATCCGGATCCAAAGGCACCTCTCCATCTCTAATACTCTCGACGCCTGTTGCCACCTGCTGCGACACATTGCCGGCACATTCCCGGTGAAATTTGACACCAATTGGAGTCGCGGCTTTTCGGTTAACTAACTCCCGCACCATGTTTTCCAGCGCTCGTTCTTCGCGCTCAAGCTCATCCAGATCTTGAGCATAAGCATCCGCCTCTCCTACTCGGTACGCACTGCGACCGGCCCCGTAGAGCTCGCTTATTCGCGGCGTCAGCGCCGGGAACTTACTGTAGCCGAACTCCATTTTTTTATCCGACTTTAGAAACCCTTTTAAGGCGATAAAACAAGTTTCCATCAAGGAATGTTTTCATGGTGATTAAAATTGCATTTTTATTTTTGCAAATTCATTCGACTTACCGGTACCGGTATTAACTTCCCTCACTGTCTTAAAATAAAGTGTGCAACATTTTGCACACGAAAAACTAGACGCACTTAAGCCGCCGGATTCGCTCCAGTCGAGGCAATAAGCTGACTGGTATTGCGCCGACCGGAGTGGACACCGATGCTGTAGACCAGCAAGTTCCCACAGTTAGCGCACGTGTTCCGGCTGTTCCCTGTCGTGTGAACGTGGCCGCATGCGTCGCACGCCAGGCCAGTGTACGTAGGCGCCAACACTGGGAATCCGTTCACGTACTCACGTTGCATACCCAGTGCCTTGTCCAGCGCTCTCCAAAGCGGCTCAGCCAGCGGACACGCCACTTCTCCGCCTAAAAGCTGTCGCGCTGTAACATTCGGGCCGTAACATTTTGCATTTAGCGACTTGCGTGTACAGATGACGGCGCCGCTGAGCCCAATCCCGCCGTAAAGCCCCTTACTGTGGCTATACGAGTAATTTGGCGCAACGCCACCAGCACCGACGTTAAGCGACGCGCTAGCGGCTCGGCCAATGGGTCCGACGGCAATGTCAAGTTCCGAGCCCAACTGTACTTGGCCATTACGGGTAAATACCTTGACGGCGCTCCTAGAGTTCAAGACGATCATGTAGTTGACAATTTCACCGCCCGCCATCATGCCGAAGCCAAACCCTCCCGAAGTTAAAAAACTTGGCGCCGACCAGCCTCCAGTCGTACGGGAAATGACAAAACCTGTTCCGATCTTGCCTGAGAAGAGGAACCCCACCTTGTACATGGTCACAAACACCAGGCCATTTGCTTCCGCCAATAACTCATGCGGAATCGACTGGTCCTTGAGCAACTTCGGCGATAGAAACGTCTCGACCACTTGGGCTGCATTCCCCATCTCCTTTTTCAATTTGGCTGTAGCCTTTACGCTCATTGTGTGGCCGTTTCCCGGGAGATGTGAGCGCATGGACTCCATGACCGCCAACGAGTTGGACCGATCACGAAGCGCCGCCGCAGCCTCTTCCGCTGCTAGCTGTGACGCAACCTCCGATGTCGCCCGGCTCAGTACCGCGTCGTCCGCTGTGTCAGCTCTAGCCAGCGTTGCTCGCTGCTGATCTTCTTGATGTTTGCGCTGAAGAATCAGAGCTTTGGTGGATGGTTTGCGCATTGGGTGCGGAGCCTGCTGCGACGACTGGCTGCTGCCGATTGAAGACGACGTCGAAGAGAAGGAGCTAGGTTTAGACCGTGGCAACCCATGGATCTGTCCGTGTGGTGAAGCGTGGGAGGAGTTCATCATCATGTCCTGTCGGTGAGAGGTCTCGGAGTGCCCTGCGTCCCCTCGAGAGCTGCGACGATGAGGGCACGCTTTCCGTGCAATGGGGTTTTCAACACACTCGCTCTTTTTCTGAGGGTAGGGCGATGGAAATAGACAGTCGATGGATTTCTATTTTCCAGGGATTTCAGCCAATTACCGTACAGTACATGACAGGACAAAACGGCTGTCATCTTTCCAGCACACTTGATAATGGCGACGTGGGTTTGATGAGCATCCACTTGGACAACTGGCCACCTCCCGACTTACAGTCCATAAAGTTCGCTTGAGCAGTTTTTGACAAAGAAACGCACGGCTTCATTGTGGTGGTATGTTTGTGCTATGGTTGAGTTCGATGGTAATTGGTTTCTTCTCTCTGGTAAGAAATTGTGAGCAGCCGCAGTAAGATGCTCTCCATCGCACCTGCAGCACAGAGCGCACGTGCTACTCAGAAGATGACGTGCTGCTCCCTGGGACCAGCAGGTGCGCCATGTTGACCAGCCTTCCAGTGGAAGAAGGCAACTACATATGCTTGACGTTGAAGTAGGATTAGACAGCTAGCACTACGAGCGCCTAGGACAGCAGGACTAGTTAGCAGAGCGAGTAGCAAAGCTGTAAGCATCTAATTCGAACTCAGTTGTGGATTTACCATCAAGAACACAAATCGACGGTCAACCACGTGACAGTTTGATATATCAAATCGTAGCGTGACCTACGACAATACTACAACTCAAAGATGGCTGAAGATATTACATTTGCAAAGACGAAGGCAAATGGCACCACCGCGAAGAAGAAAGTACCAGTGTTCAGACAAGGAACCTGCAAACAATGGTTGCAGTGGATCCTGCGTCTACAAGAGTACTCAGCGTTCATGCAGTACAGCTACGAGCAAGAAGACCAGCTAGCGTTCGTTGAGGACATACAACTACTACTCTTCGACGAGGACATACATTTCTTCAACGACTTTGTTCGCGAAGAGGTCCAGCTGCGACCGGACGTCGCTGTCGCTGGCCTGCGGCACCTCACTGCAAAGCACTGCCCCGCTGGCACGCGAGGCATGCTCATGGATGAGCTTACGCAGCTAAAGAAGAAGCGTGGTAATACTGTCAGACAGTATAGCTGCGAGTTCCGAATGCTGCTACGAATGATACCGTTTCTCGAGCACGGCGAGAATGAAGCCGTCGCCGAAGCAGATGCGGTACGGATGTACCGGCAAGGGATGCCGATAGATTGGCAGGTTGAAGTCAATCGCATCTCCCGCATCTGGGACCTGGCGTCGATTGAGACTCAGTTTGAGCTCATCGAGAGAAACGAGCACGACGAAGCTATCCTACGAAGCAACCGTCCTCGGCGTAGCGAGCCCAAACAACAACGCGACCACCAGCGCGGAAACACTGGTCGTCAACAGCGCAATGAGCCGCGCAACCCTCGTGGCAATAATAACAGGGTAGCAAGCGGCAAGTACTGTAATTACTGCAAAAAGGACAACCACAGTGACGACCACTGCTTTCGAAACCCTGCGTCACCGGCTTACCGACCACGCCCTGGGAAGCACTACGCAGGACGGTCCAATGCTGGGGGCAGTGGCGGCACAATGGCCGCGATGCAGGAGCAGCTGACTGACATGGCGGCAATGGTGAGCGCCATGCAGAAGCGTCAGAACGAGGAGTTCGCATCCATGCGATTCTATGACAGCGGTAATTCTGACATGATGGCGGCTATGAGGACGGAGGCTTGTATGAAGCCGACGGCGAAGACGCTCGACCCAAGTATGGAGGTGCAAATCCTCATGGGTAAGCACCGAGTGAAGGCGCTGCTGGACACAGGCTGCACTCGCTCGGCGATGGACCGCACGACGGCGGAACTTCTGAAGTCCGATGTCGTTCTACGGCCCGATGTTGCCAAATTTAGGAACGCCGATGGCTCAGTTGGCACGACCACGCACTGTGCGTCCGCGACGTTCAAGCTGTTGGACTTCTCGCAAAGCAGGGCGTGCTCGCATGAGTTTCGCGTGACAGAGAAACTGCTCTACCCCATTATGCTCGGAAGAGACTTCATGAGACAGCAGCGAATGGTGCTAGACTTTGACCGGGGAACTGTAGAATGGGATGGCCTCGAAGTGAGGATGCTTGGGGAACCAAGCACCAGTCACACGACGGCAGCAGTGCTGCAAGCTGACATGGAGTGTAGATCAGCAATTGACGTGACGCCACCCGAGGAAGTGCCACTGGATAAGATGCTCGAAGGCAGCACACTATCGGCTGATGCAAAGGCAAAAATCATGATGTTGATAACGAAGTTTGAAGCCTTGTTTACGAGCCAGTTAGGAAGCATGAAGAGGGAGCCGTACGTCTTGCCCCTCAAACCTGACGCGAAGCCATTTGCAAGACGGCCATTTCCTATCCCTCGGGCTTACTACGAGGCCACTCGCCATGAGATCCAGAGACTTGTTGACATTGGCGTGCTGAAGCGGGATGCGACGTCGCCTTGGGCCTCTCCGGCCTTCGTGGTCCCCAAGAAGGATGGAAGCGTGCGATTGGTGTGTGACTTCAGGGGGCTGAACAAGTTCCTACAGCGAAACTACTACCCAACGCGGGATCCTAAAGAGATGATTCGCTCGGTTGACAGACCGAAATACAAGTCCGCTTTCGACGTTCCTTCGAGCTACTATACCATTGCTCTCGCGCGTAGCAGCCAGCCCGTTACGTGCATCACGACACCGCTCGGAAAGTTCGTGTTCCTAAAACTGCCTATGGGCGTGTCGACCGCTCCGGACGAGTTCCAGGCTGCGATGGACGAGATCCTCGGGGACCTGGACTACGTGCGCGTGTACTTGGACGACATCTTGGTGACGTCGTCCACCTTTGAGGAGCATCTGCAGCACTTGGCTGTAGTGTTTGGTCGACTTCGTGATCACGGGCTAACACTACACCGTACGAAGTCAAAGATCTGTGCCTCAGTGATCGAGTACCTGGGGTATCAAATTTCGGATGATGGAATCTCGGCATTACCTAACAAGGTCACGGCGATTAATGCGATTGCCCCGCCGAACAACCGCCGTGAAGTTCGTCGATTCGTTGGCATGGTCAACTTTTACAGCGACATGCTGCCACGCAGAGCGCAACTACTGGCACCGCTGACTCGACTCACGTCCCCAGCAGTACAATTCCGCTGGTCGACAGAGGAACAGGCAGCTTTTGACGCAACCAAGGCAGCACTATCAGAGTGCGTGCTTTTAGCGTTCCCGGCTTGCGGGCGCCCGTTCCACGTCTTCACGGACGCTTCGAAGCTTCAGCTTGGCGCCGTCATTTCGCAGGATGGCAAACCATTGGCTTTCTGGTCAAAGAAGTGTAACCATGCGCAGACCTCATACCCAGCTAACAGACTCGAGCTGTTAAGCATCGTGCTGGTACTGCGCGAGTTCCGGACACTGCTTTTGGGGCAGGAACTGCATCTGCACACCGACCACCTCAACCTGACCTACTCCACGTTCCACGACGTGCACATGATGCGGTGGAGACTGGAAATTGAGGAGTTTGGTCCGACTTTTCATTACGTTCCCGGCAGCAGCAACGTCGTTGCCGATGCGTTGTCAAGACTGCCCATCACCGATGAAAATGGCACCAAACTGGAGGAGAAGCCAACAGTCACAATAACTGCCGTAGAAGCGGCTATGGGTGGAGAGTTCGCGGTGGACATGAGAGAAATTGCAACAGAGCAGAAGAACGACAAGGACCTAGGCGAATCCGAAGAACGGGAGATAGCTGGAGTACTGGTTCTAGTGCACCCCAAGTCGAAGAAGATACTGGTGCCGACTCGACTACGGCTCCGACTTGTACAAAACTACCATGACCTACTGCTGCACCCCGGAGCGGCAACGATGGTGAACACCATCGGGCAAGTGTTCTACTGGAGAGGAATGGAGCCTGATGTACGAAAGCTTACGGACAACTGCTTAGCGTGCTTGAAAGCAAAGCACCCGACGACTCGGTATGGCAAGTTGCCGCCGAAGTCGGTCGAAGTATGGCCGTGGTTTGAGATTGCTGTCGACTCGATCGGACCCTACGGACGGAAAGGCTTCCGAGCACTAACGATCATCGACACAACAACGCGGCTCATCGAGATACTACCCGCTACGGACGCTACGAGCATGGAGGCGGCGTACCTGATGGACAGGTACTGGTTTGCACGCTACCCCCGCCCGACACGCTGTATCCACGATGGTGGAAGTGAGTTTAAACGAGAGTTCGCAGAACTACTGGAGAGCTACGGTGTGGAGCGTGTGGTGACCACGACCCGTAACCCTCAAGCCAACTCCGTCATCGAACGCGTGCACAGAGTGATTGGAGAGAAGATGAGGACAAAGAGCATCAATACACAAGACGAGTGGGCGAACTTCCTGAACGACACCATGTTCGCCATGAGAGCGTCCAACCACTCAATGTTGAAGGCTTCACCGGCTCAGTTGGCATTCGGACGTGACATGCTGGTGGACATTGCCCACGAAACGGATTGGCAAGCGGAGCATCAACGCAAGGTAAACCAAGTACGAGCGCACAACGCTCGTGAGAATCAAGGACGATCCGTGTGGACATATCAGCCAGGCGATCAAGTACTACTGCGCCGTGATGCTGGCGTACAGAGCAAGATGCAGCCTCTCTTCGACGGGCCCTTTGAAGTAATCGCAGTTCAAGAACACGGGACGCTTACCCTTAACAAGGGTCGATACCTTGAGAAGGTAAACGTACGTCGTGTGCGACCCTGCAAGGCCAAGCGTGGAGGAGACTGTGAGCAGCCGCAGTAAGATGCTCTCCATCGCACCTGCAGCACAGAGCGCACGTGCTACTCAGAAGATGACGTGCTGCTCCCTGGGACCAGCAGGTGCGCCATGTTGACCAGCCTTCCAGTGGAAGAAGGCAACTACATATGCTTGACGTTGAAGTAGGATTAGACAGCTAGCACTACGAGCGCCTAGGACAGCAGGACTAGTTAGCAGAACGAGTAGCAAAGCTGTAAGCGAACTCAGTTGTGGATTTACCACCAAGAACACAAATCGACGGTCAACCACGTGACAGAAATACCGATTCGCCTCACATGAACCTACATAAGTATCCTTGTGGTTATTGCATTGGACACCTTTGATAAAGTCACCCGGCTGAAACATTGCTGCTCAATTTTTTTTCGTGTTTTTCTTGCTTATTTCATGTACTTTATTGCCACCCTGCTCCCGCACAACACGTGTAGTCTTGATCATGCTTCACGAGACCACGAGGCCACACGGTAGCTCGACGTTCTCCTGCTGCTCCACCTGCCAGACTTCCTGCTGCAAAGATCCTGCCTCCTCGCACCGAGAAAGTCTCGCTGATTCCTTTCCTTCATACCTGCATCTACTCGCAAATGGCTTCACAACGAGAGGAGCTTCGCCTTGAGGGGGCTCTCCTTGCTCTGATCACTTGTTAGCTTAGCTCCAGTGCGTGCGGTGCTCAGCGTCGTTAGCCGCGTTTCCCCACTTGACGGTGCCCACCAGCAGGACCGTGGCCGGGATAAGCACCAGACCGTTCTCCTTGATCTTGCGGACTGTCTTGTACGGCATCGTCGTGATGAGGCTGCGAACTGGGTGCACCTCGTACGGCGACAAGTGGCGCGTGGTACGGCCGAACTCGGGACCGAACTTGGCCCAGAACTTTGCGAGGTTCACGCTAGGCGGCATCTTTTCTCTGTTCCTGTCGCTCGCTTCCGCTTGTGCTTCTGGTGGTGCTCTTTGTCGTGGGGGACGTCGTGCACGAGCGGCTATCAGGAAAAACCTCTTAGAAAATGTGGGTGGAGAGTAAAACCTCGCCGCACACCATATTTACACGATTGTCACCGCTATTTAACACGACTCCTGCATAAAATACGATGTAGCCATGGGCCCAGTACATGTATCAGATTTCTGGCGCGCGACTGTAGTAATCGTCTGGACGAAGTGATCTACTCCTTTGAATCCCTCGTATCAAGATGACTCCCCCCAATGCGATCATTGAGTGCAATGACGTGGTTGGTGTGGGTTAACTCAGTGGCCGCTGCAGCTGGGATGCATTAAAATGTACTTTTATGAATTTCATACAGACAGGCACACAAGCAGCAGCTTCCGACTGTACTTGAATGCGGATCTTTGGTCCATCAGCGGTTACCGTAAAGGTTGCCTCAGTGGCGAATGTGCGCGGATAACGACCTAGCGTATCTGCCAACTTCCTACAGTGCTTCAAGCCTTGGACAAGCACTGTGCTTGTCCAAGAGTTGCTAAGAATCAACCCGAGTTTGCTCGACGCTCTTTGCTTGGACCGTGTTCCCTTCATATACATCCTTCCGCAACTGCGTTCATGCAGTGGGCTTTAAGCGGGATATTGTGTTGATATTCCAACCCATAACCTCTATCGTCGAATACGAAACACGGTACTCGCTTCGTTTTTTCACTAAAATCTTCATTTCAGAAACGTTTTGACCTCTTATAATACATATGTCATATTGTAATGGTCTCAAGCCGGTTAACACGTGAGACCGCCTTTCAGTCACATCCTCCAGACTTTATCATTCGCCGATTTCCTCTACAGGACTCAGACAGCAAAATGGCGTTCCGCAGACATTTCTTCGTCCTTGTGGCCGCTCTGGCAGCCGTCGTCGTGGCATCAGGCGAGCAGACCGCACACCACCATGGACGGCATCGCAAGAAAGAGGTGGCCGAGGAGGTCCCCACGGCGCCCTCCTCGTCCAGTAGCCAGGACCTGTGGGTCGGTAGTGGTAGCGGCAGCCTCGTTGATGTACCTGACGTGGGAGAGGAGTCCTGGAGTGGCAGCGACGACAGCGAGGAGTCCGAAGACGGCTCCGAGCTGGAAGAGTCCGAGAGCGGCGATGAGAGCGACGAATCAGAAAGTGACGAGTCTGAATCTGATTCAACATACGAAGACGAGGAGGAGCAAGAGGAGGTTGTTCAGACGGAGAAGAAGAGCAAGAAACACAAGAAAGAGGTTGTAGACGAGACGATAGAGGTCGTGGACGTCACGTTGTCTGGCTCCGGCTCAAACGACGACGTGGAAGTCGTCATTGTTGAGGCTTCAGCCTCTGGCTCGTTCGACGGCTCTGTGGAGTTCGAGGACGACTCTGCGTCGGGTTCATTTGACGGCTCAGTGGAGTTTGTGGGAAGTGACGAAGAAAAGGACGAAGAAGAAGGCAGCGAGAGCTACTCTGACGAAGGTAGCGACGACGTCGAGCAGGAGGAAGGCAGCGACAGTGACGAAGGCAGCGAGAGTGACGAAGGCAGCGAGAGCTACTCGGATGAAGGCAGTAAGAGCGAGGAGCAGGAAGAAGTTAAACGCAAGCACAAGAAGCACCACAAGGGCTGGATCAGTGACGCTTTTGACACTGTAGCCAACGCCACTGAAGATGCCTACGAACATGTCAAGAACGGTACGAAGGATGCGTACGAACATGTCAAGAACGGTACGAAAGACGCTTACAGTGACGTCAAGGACTTTTTCCATGGCTCCGACTCCACATCCGCTTCTGGCTCGGGTGCCGAGTGGGTGGATGTGCACGACTTGGACGAAGACGACGAGTCGCACGACTCATACGATGATGAAGTCACGGACAAGAAAAAGAAGAGCAAGAAGAAAAACTGGGTCGACGACGTTGCTAGCGCTGTGGATGACGCCGCTGAACACGTCAAGAACGGTACCCAGGATGCGTACGAGCACGTCAAGAACGCTACTCACGACGCCTACGACAGTGCTGAGAGCGCAGCACAGAACGCCATTGATGACGTCGTGGACTTTGTGAACGGCAGTGAGTCGTGCTCTGGCTCTGGCTCTGGCTCACTTGGTGCCACGGTGACGGTGGAGCAACAGCAGGTGAAGGACGAGAGTGTGGCGCTTGCTAGTGAGACTGCCGAAGAGGCCGAAGCTGAGACATCCAACCACTTTATTGAGTTCGGTGCAGCTGTCGGCGGCTTCGTCGGTATCATTGCTGTGGCCTTTGCGGTTGTTGTTCGCAAGGTCCGTAGTCGCAGCTCGAGCGACTCGACGGAAGAGGACGAAGCTGCTGTGGCGATGGCGGCTGATGCTAGTGCTGATGAAGAGGCATCGGAGGACGAGACGTTGGAGTCTGGCGCTCTTGTGAAGGAAGATGTCGACGATAAAGAGGACGGACACGAAGGAGAGACGGAAGGCAAGTTTGAAGGATCCGTATAAGCCCCCAGAACTCTGCAGTGCCATAGCGTACAATGCTTCGTATAATATATTTCATCCCGTTTACCATACCTACGTTTGTTTACTGGTGCCGGCTAAAATGTTTGCTGTTACCCACAAAGGGTACATATACTTTTTAATGGGTAAAATGACAAATGTTGCAGGGAAGTCAGTGTCAGTGATAACGCAACAAGTACTACTAGTAGTAGTACTAGTTTTAATAACCCACGCACAACAATACTACGTTGTAGATGATGTCAATGCTACAACTGACGTTAGCAAAATTTGCTTTTTGCATGTTGGCATTGCCACTGGCGATTTGCCAGGTGTAGACTGAGATAGATGTACTCGGTTTTTGAGAGCGAATTTGTGGCTAGAGCTCGTACATATTTCGTGTTGGACTCTAGACTTTATGTTGTATCGCATAGCAACCGCAGCGGCCATGCACGAATCCACTGGCAACTTTCTCTTTTTTGGCCATGGACACCTTATAAGAAGCAGCGCTGTGTCCTACATGTTCGAGCAGCACAAGTCCAGTCACCTGGCGATTGATGGAAGGACATCATGATGGGAAATACCCAGCTCGATACTGCAGCACCGCATTGTGATCGAGTATCCATTCGCCAAAAAGTGTACCTACATTTTCAAATATGAAAATCCACTCTGCGCTGATGTGTTAAAACCGCAGTGTCCAACAGCAAAAATTACAGCTAGTGAAAACGAGCCAAACCGCCACCTTTCGACTCAACTCGTTCTTCTTATTTTTCAATTCACTCCCACGTGACGAAGCCTTCTCCCACAAAGCAAATTCTACACAACCATGACACGTTCTCCGCCTGCCATGTCGCTGCTCTTCCTGCTCATGCTGAGCCAGTTGTCCATGCTGGTTAGCGCCACAGACTCGGCCAGTGACACGGTCGAGTCTCTCTTCGACTCTGCCGACGGCATCAAAGTCGGCGGTAGTGTTCTAGCCATCGCTGCGATTGCAGTCGGTGCCGTAATGGTGGTCATGGGCTACCGCCTCTTCCGAGCCACACTCTTCGCTGTCGGCTTCGTGGCTGGCGGCGTTGCGGTCGCAATAGCCGTCGAGCACATTTTCGACAACGAGTCGTGGGTTATCACAGCGTCTTGGATCGCCTTCGTTGTTGGCGGCCTCATCTGCGGCAGCATCGTCATGTCACTCTACTCGCTCGGCATCTTCATCGCTGGTGCAGCGGCTGGTGTTGCCCTCGCCATGATGATCCACAATTCGGTCGGCTACGAGATCTACCCCAGCCACCCGCAGGTTGTGCTCATTGTGCTGTGTATCGTGCTCGGCATTGTTGCCGGCGTGCTGGCACTTAAGCTCGAGAAGCCCGTGCTAATCACAGCCACCAGCCTCTTCGGTGCCGCCATTTTGGTGTGGGGCGTTGGCTACTTCGCCGGTGACTTCCCATCCACCAGTGACCTCAAGGACTACGCGTCCCGAGACATCAACGGCGACTGGGTCTACTCGATCCCGGACGCGTGGTGGGGCTACCTCGCCGGCATCCTAGTGCTGTTTGTGCTTGGCCTATTCATTCAGTTCCGCAAGACTGGCCGCGGTGGCGCGTACCACAAGTCACACGCCATGGAACGCCGCACGGAGACCGTGCAGTACGTCGAGGCCGGGACCCCGCAGGAACATAACGTGCGATATGGCAACCCGGTGAGCCACGTTTAAGCAACCGCTTTAGGAACAGCGCAACTACTTCAATAGGATGTACACTAGGCGAGTGCCTTGACACGGTCAACAGACAGACAACACACACAGACATAACACTTTTATCAGACATTTTGCACTTCAGAACTAGTAAATGTTTGTCAACTCGTCAATTGTTTTCTCGCGGAACATTGGTTACAAAGTTGCAAATTTGAAAATGTCCTGATATCTAAAGATTTTCTACTTGGTGTCATTCGATGAGGTACCCAAATTTAGAAGTAGGGCAATACAAGTATGATGTAGCCACCAAGAGAATGATTCTTAGACGGCGTCATCGCCATTTTCATGAAGTTTGATAGGTTTACCTAGAGAACGTCATATAACCCGTGTTTGAGTTGGGCACTTGCTTGCCGTGTCTTGTTGGCATGAATGGCGAGTATGTGCCCAACTCAAGACTTCTGCCGGTCTGTTATTTTGTATTGTTGTCAGACAGTTCGTAAGTGTTATGCATGTTCTTTCAATGTGTCACAAATAAGTCTCATAAGTCGACACAACACAGCTCGCACACTAAAAAGCTATGACTGACAACTCATATGCACGTACCATACGTCTGAGATACCAGTACGCTATTTGATACCTACAACTAAACACATAGAGCTGATAGTTGCTCTTCATAGCGGCAAAGTGCGCCGATGACAGCTCGGCGTACTGGCACTGCCCGCCGCTGAGCTCTTTAGGTCATGGAGGACAACTGCCCGAAGGCGTCCACAAGCTACTGTGATAACCAAGTTGGCTGTCACGATGGCTTGTGGACACGTACATGCATGATGCTTAGCTAGTGTGGTAGAAGGGATAATTGTAGGCAAATATGAGCTTAAAAGTCGCCACAGACGGTCATGCAGGCTCTGCTGCGAGCAAATGCTGCCGACACTTTAATAACTTCGTAATAATTGGTCTAGAAAACATAGATAGTTGCTGTCCGCACTCAACACTATCAATTGCGTCGACTGGGTCAAAGTACGTTTTGCTCTAATTTACTCAAGTTGCTGGCTCGACACTTGTCTGACGAATTCTGTGCAAATCGGTCTTTGCGATTTTTGCCATACAATTCAGCAGAGGGGAAAAACAGCTTTTTCAGAAAATGTCAGACAGAATGTCCGACGCGAATCAATCAGATGGGTACGATGTCCGACAGATTTTAGGAATGCAGCATGCGTCGGTCAAAAGGGTAACAACGGATATGTCTCTCGGTGAAGGGTTTCAATGGGACGTCTCCAATCAAGAGTAGGATCCACAGATGGCTCGGCAGCGTACTTATCGCAGAATCGCCTGGCCATCTCTCCACTGAAGTAACACCAGCTGCATTATCCTTTTGTATTGCACATCGCCAATTTCACAATGGCACTGTGAATTTCACAGTGGCAACAGTCATTGAGCACATCCAGCTGTTGTTCGGACTATCACGAGTGTGTTGTCGCTGCGTCCAGGAGCCACAACTTGCCCCAGTTGTGGCCCACGAGGGCGTCAAGTCCGCGAGTATCTAAGTCATGTGGAAAAATGGTAGCTGAATTCTATCCGCATGGTGTCTAAAACCAGTGCACGCACTGCATGTACAGCATACAACCCGCGGCATTCTCCAATTATCTACGCTGTGTGAAAATGACGCGTTCGTCGATTCTCTTTGGGCTTTTGCTGAGCCAAGTTGCTCTTATTGCGTCGTGTGTGCAGGGTGCAACAAACAGCACCGTATCAACTTTGGAGGACTCGATCTTCGACTCGACAAAAGAAACCAATTTGGGCGGATCTATCCTTGCAGTGGTCGCAGTTCTCGTCGGTGGTGGGATAGCGGTGTACGGGTACCGGTACATGTATGAGACGGTCTTCGCTACCGGGTTTGCTCTTGGAGCCGTGGGCATCGCTGTGACTGCGGAGCGTATGCTTGTCGATAAATCGTACTGGTCCCTTGGCTCGTGGCTTGCCTTCATCTTCGGCGGCCTCTTGTGTGGTGGCCTGGCCATGTGGGTCCATCCGAAGAGCAACTTTATCGCAGGAGTGGCAGGAGGCATCGCACTTGCGGTTATCGTAACCAACTCAGCAGCACACTATGTTTTCCCTAGTCAGACCCAGGAATTATTTACAATTCTGTGCGTAGTCTTTGCGGTAGTGTTCGCTGCAGTGGACCTGAAGTACGGTAAACCGGTTGATATTGTTGGAACCAGTATCTTCGGCGCTGCAAGTCTTGCATGGGGTATCGGCTTTTTCGTTGGCGACTTCCCGTACCCGAATGACCTCGAGAAATACGCAACACAGAACGTGAATGGCGACCTGGAATACTCTATCCCGACGGTGTGGTGGGGCTACCTCGGAGGGATCGTGGTGATCTCCGTATTTGGCGTACTTATCCAGTTCCGAAAGACCAGCCGCACCATGATTAACGACGAGTTCGCTGGCTTTGAACCTCATGGATTCGGATACCCCATCGACGCCGTACCGTACGTTGAGAACGCGAAGCAGCGTCCAACGATTCCCGTCTTGGACCCACCCGCAAGCACGGCCCGAGACTCGGACTACTTGCCGACATCATACCCCACACACGAATCTTTTTGTCGACTGTACTCCCGGAACACGGAGGCGCAGTCGATTAGCAAGATGAGGTCCAAATTCTTAGAGGCACGAGCTCAGTCTGTTGAGACAAAGACTCCGATGGACACTAGAGGTAGCTATCAGCCAGCGACGATGAACTCTTCCAGAGGAGTGATGGCAGAGGTGCAGGAGGAAGAGTTCTAAGACTAAATAAGCCAACAATCGCAAAGCGCTAAACAAGTAATAAAGTAGCTTTCGACGCGGTGCGCTTCTATTATACAAGTACTTGAAGTATACTTGTCTGGTCCTAAAAATAATTAACAGTTCTTTAAATCGGCGATAACTTTGGTCGTACAGCTCCAACGGAAGCGTGATTGAGCTAGTTTAAAAGCTCTACTTACGTCGCGTCAGCACCATTTTTTTTATGAAATTTATTCACAAAAATGGTGCTGACGCTACGTACGTTTTTTAATGTCGACGTTTTCTAAAAACAAAAGAAGATGAAAAACTGCCTACTTTTATACTTCATCTGTCCGGAAATATAGGGTTACATCAAATCAAAAGATCACAATTAATAATGGTGTTATTTGTCAGTTTTTTTTCGTGACAGATGGATGCGTACGTCACACTGCCGCCTCGCACTTTCAAAAAACGAAAACCTGGGATCTAGTCAAAACGGATACGCGCATTGGAATCGGAAGGGGGGTTTACCTGGAGACCTCTCCCGACGCGCCCCACCTCCCGAACGAACACCAACTCCAACATTCCAATCGTACTGATGGATACATTTTTGTGATTATTAAAATACTGGCTAAAACTACTAATAGTAGACAATTTCTACTATTGGTATTTAATACCAGTACGAAAATCACAGAAAAATTTACCAATCTGATCAGTTCGCGTTTTCTTCTTCCCGAGCTCGTGTCCGCTTCTTTCCCAGCTCAATTGCCTCGGTAACCGCACTTGCATCCCACAAGCTCCTATTGAACTCAAAAAGAGTATCGTCTCCAACGTCATTGAGTTAAGGCTTCGGCGCAGACGTGAGAACACAATTCCTGCACGTGAGAACAGCCTCTTCACGTCATTAGATGTAGGCGGGATCCACTTCAGGTCCTTTCTAGAAGAAGTCACTTCCTCCTGACTCAACGTCGGCAAAGGACTGATGGGTATCTTCACATTCCGCCTGCGGTCCCGTCGCCACAGTATCCGAGGTCTGGAGAAGTTTTATTACAGCTGCTCGTTCTCCTCTTGTCAGGATATTCTCTCTGCCAGCCATAAGCTTAACGACCCCATTCTCGAAGTAGGGAAATTTGACCAAAGAGACCTAGGAGACAGGTACAACACCGTTCCAGGGTAATGCTTGATGACATGATCAAACAAAGCTCGCACATCAAGCAGGGACGCCGTCGTTGTTTGTAGCTTCTTGTTCACTCTCTCCAAGTTCTTGAGATCTTCATACAGAGCCTTCAATCGAACATTCTCTCGCGGGGTGGGAATGAAGTCCGCCAATTGGTCGTCGATGCGGTTCAACTCCGAATATATGCGAAAATAGTGGTCGATCATGGAGAATGTGCTGCTCCAGCGTGTTGCATTACGATAGACGGGAATGAGAGCGTCTGCCTCGCGGAGATGATACCGATTCTTGATCGTGTTCAGCTTGCCCATGAGCGCATGGACCTTATCCAATGTATCGTCGTCCTCGCACATGAGGGCTTGGACGGCCAAGTTTAATCGGTGGCTAGCATACCCTATCATTGGAACCAGTGTCTTGTTTGCAATTGCTACATTCACAGACGCGTGATCGCACACGTAGAAGCACAGCTGAGAGGCATGAATCTCGTATGTGTCTAACACGTCGTCAAGCAGCTCGATAATCGCGTCCGATCCCATGCCCGACTCGTCCATCAGAGTCGAAAAGCACAATAGATACTTGTCGTCCTCAGTTACACGGATGACCGCCACGAAATGCGTACCGTCCTCCGTCCATGCGTCGATAGCAAAGCCAATTTTCTTGCCACGCAGTCGCAACTTGATCCGCCCCTAAGCGACACTTTACAGCCCGCACATGTTCTTCTTAAGCGTCTTCTCGCTCACTCGGTTCAATCGAGTATACTTCCGCGTTTTCGCCTTTTCACACATGCTCAGTTCGCGGTTCTCCATGATGATCCAGTCCAACCAGTGATAAATTGTCCTGGAAAATTTATTACCATTCACGAAAGTGTCGAGGGTACCTTCTCGCCGCTGAATCGCCCGAAATTCATCCTCGTAAGTATTGGCATGGCGCCGTACGAGATGTTCCACCAGGTTCGTGTACCCAGTGCCACGAGCTTGCTTCCGACGGGAGAAGCAGATCCGACACTGATGGTATCCGTCGCCATCGGGGACAAAGAGGGCTCTGGCAAGGGATCTTGGGGCGATTGAAGACATGGTGAGCGGCGTAGAATGATGGTCTTGTGCTGGTTTCGGCAAATTGCGGAATGACAGGAGAGAAGTGCTCTCCTGTAGCGAATTGCGCATGCTTCCACGAATACCAACCACCAATTGTATAGGTTTTAAAACTAGTAGTATATGTTTTATTGGATGAAATTGGGGATTGGGGCCAATTAGTTATTGCAATAAGTTACTGCCAGTTATTATTACGGTTATTGAATTTTACCAAGCCCTGGAAGCTGCTAAGCATCGAAGTTAACCAACCTCACTTTCGAATATCCATTCTTCTACTCATATCGACAACAATTTTTGTTTGCATACTCTTACGTAGCGGCGTAAGTCATTATTTTCCTTGTAAGCCATAATTAATAGTTGATACGACAGCTTAGGCCCATGCTCACTTTGACCAAGCAAAATTTATTAAACTTAGTTTGTTCTATGTGTTGTTATATGCAGCGACGTTAATGATAACTTAAACTAGATTACAAGCTTTAATGAAATAAATCCCATTATACTCATGTAAGCACTGTTGGAACGACCGAACACCGAGTTAGAGAGGGTTAAAAAGTGTTAAATTAAAGCTGACTGTGTTGAATGGGGCAAAATATTGGGTGAAGGGGTATATTGGAAGCATTGAGAGAGATTGCTGTGGTCTACACCATAAAGAGTGTGGGAGGGTCGTGGTTACAGCAAGTAGTTTTGAAGTAGATCCGCCCACCTACCATTGTTCCGTAAACCACGGCCAGATGCAGAAAGTTTCATCGCTATATAAAATGACTTCAGACCTTTAAAGTGGTAAAAAAAGCCAATAAATTCAAGCAGGGGCAGATGTGTAATAAGCTTTTCTTTTCAACGTTAGTGCTAACGTCGGGTGGTTTGTCTTAGTATGTCTGCTCTCCATTTTCATCGCTATTTACGAATCCTTCCAAAATTGTGTCAATATCATCTGTCAAAACGCTGAGTACAGTACTACGATACCGTATTTGAGATCTCATACTACAGAGAGATCTCTTACTACATACCTTGTTTAACCAATGAAATGGCAATAATATTGCAGGTCATCAATTTCGATACTATAAGGCGTAGCTCTTACATACGGTGAATGTAGCAGCGGAGTGCCATTCATTGCAAGAAAAACAACATAGTGCGCATCCCAAGCCCAAAAAAGGTTATGGCGCGGACGCCAGATCAGCAGCAAGGGCGCCCACGGACGCCAGGAGTCGAAAAACTACCAAAGCAGTTTAAACGTGCGGCGATTTCTTATTGCCACAAGCTCGACATGATTAAGTACGTGATTGAGTGTTATGATGCCGTCATCTCCAGGAAGAAAACGCAGTCCACTATCAGCTATTTTACCCCTATCTCGAGGCTGACATAGTGAAAGTGAAGAAAAGGCAAGTTTATAACTGGTTGAATCAGCGCGATCTTATCATCGACAAGTGCGAAACGGGCTGTGGATCGCATTGCAAGGCCAGAGAAATAGGGATGTCAGTGACCCTTTCGGCCAAGCTCGAGGAGCTGATAGTACGCTGGTAAACGCTTTGGGCAAAGAGGGCATCCCTGTGACAGGCACCGTGGCTCGTATACATGCTAAAGACTGCTACGAGAGCGTGGGATAATGTGGGAGAAAGCAGCGTTGAGCTCTCTCCCCATGTCTGTCGTTGCCAGTGGTATTTGCAAGGCCAAAGTTCTACTTCAGCTATGACGGGGTCACACAGCACCTTGCGCTAGAGGCAGTTGGCTTCCGAGAGTATACAAACTCTCAGTGAACGGCAGTGCACAGCCCCCCTTTGCCTAAGTGACCAATTTTAGGTAGGTTGCTAACTGATATATATAGGCAGGCTAAGTTTGAGTTAAATTTACAAACCTCACCTTTATAAAAGCTTGCTTTTATAAAGGTGACTTATGGTTTGTAAATTTGTCATCAGCCAGTGGTTGGCCTCGGACGACCCTGGTACTGTGCACCAGATATCCCATAGTATGACGTGCCACACCTCATGTAACTAGGGGTATACGTACCGTCTTACCCCGCATATAAGGCATATGTGCTCTAAATGAATACAGCACTGCTTGTGTGTTATATTCGTTTAGAAAGCCTATGTGTTGTACAACAAACAAATTGTTTGACTTTGAAGAAGCAAGTTTGTGGGTCCTAGAATGTGGCTTGGTCGTTTAGGCTTGACCCTCCTAACGTAGGACCTACGCGATCAGCGTGGGCTCAAACCCGTCTGCGTGCAGGTCATATAATGTTGTGATTGGTAGCGGGTCTTTTCTTTCTGTTGTGGCTGCGTTGTATACGGAGGTTTTGCGCCTTTCCGATAGTCTGCTAGAACTGCGAGTTTCTCGTGGATACTATAGCTACGTCGCTCAGCGCCCATGGATGTGTAAAGTATAAATAAGAGAATTAAAGCCAAGTAACAGTAGCACAGACAAGTTTGCTCAGAAGGGTGGTTGGTTGGGAGCTCTCAAGAATATTCATTGGTTGGTACAGCCTTGTGCTTTTAAGTAGGCTTCAGCCACATGTGTTCTAATTAGGTAGATGGTCAAATTGAGGTTTAAGCTAGATGTCGAGCGAATCCCGTGTTTTATTTAGAGCACATATGCCTTATATGCGGGGTAAGACGGTAGATCTACGTACCCCGCTACATAAGCAGCATATTTAACAGGGCGGAATGATGTAGAGCAGGCGTTGCTCGACACAAAGCCACATTGGGAGCTCTTCAACCGGCTTCTCGAGGATATTCCTGTTGTTCGGCATGTGGTAGGTGCAAGCC